GCCGGAAAACGTTGGCCGACAGCCGGCCTAGAGTCAGAGGAAGGTTTGCAAAAAACGATGACTTTGGAGAGACGCACAGAACAAGTTGTAGCAATCTGAAGAAGAAGATGAAAACGAAGTAAGTAACACCAACACATCTCCATTATTAAAACTACCTTAATGTTATTATTATTTACTAATTTTAACAGGTGAGGGTTATTAAAGTAGAAGATGATATGAACGATTCCTCTTCAGATATCCTTGGACACATCACTGGCGTAAACTCTTTCAATTCAACAATTATTCAATCCAACCTGGATTGATGATGACGATGATGAATAGCTAGTTTATTGGCAACATCACAATGAACATATATCTCTACAATTTTGGAACAGGACCCTATTTCAGCCAGATTATCTCCAGCTGGGTTTAATAAACACAGAAAGTAAATAACAGGGGGTCTTTATATATTATGATAACTGAGTCGGGAGGGTTATATAAAATTAATGAATAACCAGCATAATTTTTGGTAGATATTTTTCCATCTTTATGATCGAATTCTAAGTCCCATGTCTGTACAAGCGCAGCAGTAATATCGAACTGCTTAAATGCTTGTTGCAGAAATTTATGTATAGTTGTTCCCCAAAATTGTAATTAAGATTTTTACGTACTTACGTTTGTAGCTTTTATTAATTTTCTGAGTCCAGAACCAGAGACGATTATCATTATCATTAATCATTATTAAGATGGCACACTTCAATATGGGTTTCTTTTATAGTAAATTGTAATATTGTATAAACAAGTTCTGGCAATGTAAATTTTGCTTTTTAACTTTTAAAATATTCCTTTCGGTATCCAACAGAGCTTATATTACCAATCATGTAATGTGACGATCCATTTGACATCTCTAATTTTTTTATTTTATTAATGTTGTTTATAGATTGCTTGACATGATGAGCCATGCCATGAATGATTTCATAACTTTTGGAAGATGATTAAAGAAACTGTAGTAGCTAGATAGCAACAGAAAACTCGGCCGGCATGAGGCCCTTTTCTCTATAGTTGATTGCAGTAAGATGGCCCATAATTACATATGAGAGAATTTTTAGAGGCCCCACTTGGAAAATTTCACCACAAAATAAAGAATTTTTGTTTTTAACCAAGGTATCAGGGCCCACTATGAGTCCACTTACAAGCTGAACCCACCTAATCCCGGAGCCGGAATGCAAAACTAACACCGCAACCCATCAGGCAATACATGGGTGCGTTGATGGGGACTCGAACTTAAATCTCTAACAAAATCGAAACCAATTGCACCTTTCTTCGTTACATAAGGTAAAATGAGGAAATTTTCACAACACTATACAATATTTTTTGTGCCATTTGAGTGTTGAATATATCTGATATCACCTATTTCCAAAATTTTGTCTTTGATTTTGTAGGTTTGGAAAAAGTATTGATTCCAAACCCGAATTTTAGCATCAAAACTAATAATTAATTGAATGACTTATCACAATCATATAGTTGTTGTCCAAATTCCAAAACCAACTAAAATACTATAATTTATGCGCAAAGGTCGTATGTAAACCTTGAAAGATAAGAGAGAATTTTAGGCAAAACAAATCTCAAGTAGTTATTCTACAGGTAAAGTTCTCCTACTCTGCCTAAATTTGCTTTTGCAACGCCTTCATGTCAACGGCATTGCCTTTTACTTTTTCTCTCATGTGATGTTGGTTGAACACTTTTGCCATTAAACACTAGATTTTAAGCTACAATTCTTACTAAATACAATTGTCATGTCATGAAGTTCAATCTTATTTGATTTCAATAACAATAAAGATTGATTCATAATCAAATCCTATAAATTTTCTTTCACAATCCCAGTGACAGTTCGCAATTGAGCAGGCGGAACCGTTGTTGGTAACGGGACTCATTACGAGTGGTATGTCAGAGTTGTAAAAAAAAGTTGATAAATTTGGTTGTAAGTGTATTATTACCCTTTCAATAATCATACATACATATGACAAATAGATTATAGTCTATTCCCAATTCAAATTGAAAGGAGGGAAGAGAACAATTGACACAAAGCAGTTTGTTCTTTGTTTCCTACATCACAGTCATAATCAAATATATTTTTCTTAAAGCCCTAATGCAAGAACTGGCCTCTATTATTTGACAAAATAATGCTATAAAGTTAGGTAGCATGTACAATTTGACTTTTATAACTCCAAAATACAAAACACTCGCCATTTTTCAATGAGTAGTTTGCAGACGGCTCCTATAAGAACAAAATTCTATATCAATCACAAATCATAATTTAAAACTTTGACTCAATCAATTGAATTGAGATTGGTTCTACATTTTCAATTGTTAATAAATACCCATTTGGCCCCACTTTACTTATAGGTTTGAATATACCCACTAGGCCGTTTTTAGCGGCCGAAAGTAGCTATCTAAATATATGAAACCTTGAAAGAAAAATAATATTTCTTTTCATATTCTAAATTGAAAAGGTGTTCAAGTTTAAAGAGTAGTTTCTTACTTTCTATACTATACTAGGTAAAAATATTATTTCTTTTGCTACAAATATGGGTTTTGAAAATTGAGAAGCATTAATTATTGTTACTTTTAAAAAATATACCCAAAATGTATTTCAAATATCTCTATGTACTTTCCAATATCATCTTCTTGTTGAAGTGGGTATTGCTTGTTGCGCATAAAATTTGAACCTCAAAAGTCAAAACCCCACTACTTCCATGAATAGAGATATCATACAGATAGTGGTAGCCACACTAATTATTTATTCTCCTTTAATATATATATATATTTTATTTTTTATTAAGTTTTAGCTTATATTTATTTTAAATCTTCTAATCCAAAATGTCAAGGTTACTCAACTCATAAAAAATAAGAGGAAACCAAAAGCTTGGAAGATTCCTAAACCCCTTTGTTTTGTTTGTTTTGAGCTTTGAAGAGATATAATTTATACTCTTTTGATTGATTGATTTCCTCTCATCACCAATGATTTAAGATTGGAATTTTATAACTCTATCATAATAATCCAAAACCATAATTTAATGGTCAATTATATTCCTATACTGTAATTACAAATCATAATGTTTATCTATCCAGACAAAAGTTCACGTCAGATACGATCCTAATACGATAGAAATATACATTTCTTCTTACACTAATGGAGGAAAAAACTAAGAACCAATGCATAGATAAAGTTTAAAATCCTCCATGATTGGATTGTTAGACTATTAATGTAAATGATTTAGGGAATCTATATGAACCCTTAGATTGAATTGAATGATTATTATAGTTGGATAAGCTAAGCTTTGGCAAATCGAAATTATTATACGTTTGAAACCTTTAGGTGCACATGAGAAGATTAGAATAGTGGAATTATGACTAAATGAAGGATTGGTTTTGGTTTGTCTGATCAAAACACCCAAAATGCTTTTAGTGGAAGTTCCATTTGAAGTCACAAGTGCATCACATGATTGCATCCACAGAATTTTGCCTTGAGACCATCAAAACCAATCCACTTATTTGATCTTAACCTCAATGAGCTTTAAAAAAACAGGTTGGTGGGTATGGGTTCTCTCTAGAAATTGAAACTCAAACCCATCTGGGTTTTGTTTGTTTGATGAATTCAAAGTCTTTAGTTTGGTCATGTGACTTGTGTTTTGCATGTGAAAAAAATTTTGGATGAAGTCAATTTAGTTTAGGAGAATATATAAAATAGACACATACCTAATTGTTGCATGGATTCTTGGAATTGACTTAGAGAAAGTCATTTTGGTTAGAAAAATATTCTGATGTAGTCTCAGCATTATTTGATCAACTTGGTATTCGCACCTTCCATTCTTTCAAGTTCAACAAGTTGAATTGAGCTTTACCAGTTTCTTTGATCATTTTATTCTCTTCTTTTCATTACAAGCATCAAACTATAAATAATTATATATAATATATATATATATATATAATTATATATATATATATATATATATATATATTTAAAGTTGTTCATCAATAACGAAGCCAAACTAAACCTTAATAGTTTTACTATACACATCACAGAAGTTTTTTGTGTTGAATGACAAACCTTTTAATAATATGAAGGAAAGAAGACATGAAGAAATTAAAGCAATAGGGCAAACGGAAATGGAATTAAATAAACTGAAGCAGGTTAGGAAGAAGAACAAAAAACATGGAGTTAATAAGGTTGTACCTTAACCATAACCATAACCATACCCTCACGTTATCAACTTGTCTCTTTCTCTCACACTCACATCTTCATCAAATCTTCAGACTCAACAAACCACCAATACCATAAACAAAGGAAACAAGAACAAGAAACAAAAACAATTCGACAAAAATTAAATTAAATAAATAAATCAAAGAAACCAGATGTCCATTTCAGTTGATGTGCTCCCCGCTATTTCTCAAGTGGCACCTTTTTTTCCCTGGCCCTCAGTGGAGTCTTCTGTGTGCATCGTGCCTACCAGCTCACTCTCTTACCCTTCCATTCTTTTTTACTTTACAATTTAAGTTTAACACCAAATATTAAACAAAAAATATTATTATTATTATTTTTTAATGATCGAGTGTTCGGACCAATTTACATGTATTTAATTAATCCTCTAAAATCTTAAAACTATTGATCAGGTCACCTGAGCTCTAAAACTGCAGTTGGATAAGAATCTATTGATTACCTTAAAAAATTTATTTCCAAATAAAGTGTTAAACAAAAATTGACCCATTTAAAAAAATCTCAACAAATACTGACTTTTAAGTCCATGTTATTGTTTTTCTATTTATTTTATATGATTATACCTATTAATATTTATGAATTTAAGATCATTCAATTAGGTTTACACAATATTGTGGAGTATGATTCAGTCAGGGACTTTTAAAGATAATTTATAATATAATTTTTGTGTCCAATTTTGGGAGAATAAATAAAAATAAAGGCCCCACGAACCGAAATTCCACAAACAAACGTGGCTGACGCCCACTTTGCTTGAGTTGGTTTTTTAGCTTCACTTTCTCTCTCTGGAGACTCATAATCCAGAAACAGTTGTCTGAAACAGTTGCAACTTTTTAAAAATTTTGTGTTTTTCTTTTCTTTTTTTCTCAGTACAGTACATTAGTTTTGTCTTCCACATTCGCAGCCAGTTTCTTGAGTGTTTCTTTTGTTATCATTCCATAGAACTTCAGTTTTCTTCTTGGTGGTGCGCTAGAGTTGAAGTGTAAACAGTTGCTTCACTTCACTTGCTTGAGGTTGATGTGGGTTTGGTTTCTTGGATCCATTTCTGGTAAGAAAAAGTTGGTCTCTTCTTGTTTATTTTATTCATAAAAGTTTATAGCTTTTCTGTTTATTCATGTTATTAACCACTTTAAGAGTTGATTTGTAATAGTTAACTATGTTTAGCTTGTGGGGTTGTCTTATTAAAGTTGTTACTGTTGAGAAAAATTAATCTTTCTGCTCTCATTTATCAATTTATCCAACTAATTTGGGGACAATCAAGAGCCTGAGTGAATTTTTTAGTTTGTTGAGTTGTTGTGAGCTTGAGGTGGGCTGTATTCAATTAAGTTGAGTAGATAAAATTAATACTGAGTTGCTGCAATCCCGTCATTTTCCTTAAACATGTATGTGATTTTTGTAACCCCTCCCTGTCTTTGGTATGATATTTTATGCTTGATTGATTTTAGTGATTGCTTTCATCTGATTTTTTGTGTTTTTTTTGTTTTTGTTTTTGTTTTTGCTACTAATTGGTTACTGTTGTTCACATATTTCCACCTTTTTTTTTCTTTCTTCCCTGTCTGCAATCTCACTGTTTGATATGAATCTGATTTACACATATTTTCAGTTTTCTTATCGTTAATGTCATTATCAAACTTCTTGATAGACTTCATTTTTTTCTATTAAATTTGATGTTGGTTGCTGCTCCATAGTTTAGTAGGTTGATTATGGGGTACTTTATCTTCCCCTTTTCTTGCATGTCGTATAATGAATAAAATCAATCATGGTTAGCCAGTGAAATTATTTCTTTCCCCTCCCCTTTTGTTCTTAACTTAGATTTTGATGTGAGATGAGTAAGTAATTAGCTTTTTGCAACGTTAGATGCTAATCATTCATGTTGCTTTCAGATTCATTGTGGCATACAAATCGCTCAGAAAACATTTTACTGTAATATCAGTTATCTGGAGGCAGAATATGGGAATCAACTTTGTTGGCAAGTAGAGGCTTTCATTTTGGCAGAAGATGGAGAATAGATTGGACAATTCCCGGAAAGATGGCCAGGGGAAGGAAGATTCATTGGATGGCTTGAGCAAGGATATTGAATTATCTGGGGACAACGGGTTGGATTGTGCAGAACTTAAAACAAGAAGGTTAGTGAGAAGGGTAAATACTCAGCGTAGTCTGATATTAAATGTGAAGAAATTGTTGACAAGTAAAAGTTTTCTAAAGAATTCATTCCTTCGGAGTAATCATGGCTTAGATACTAAGATTCCAAAGCATATGGTTACTCTAGATGAGAGATATCTTCGTCGATGTCTTGAATTGATTCATGCTGGTGCATCAAAAGCAGCTCAGTGCAACATTTCTGTGAATATGAGCTCAGCAAATATGGGCATCTTGTGGGATGACATGAAACCAGCTAAAATGAGTAATGAAAATCCATGTGATATGGGTAGGTTTGTTTTTGAATGTCCATTGGCAACTGGGACAGGGAGTGTGGTCATTAGTCCTGGAGGACAGTGGATTGTGGGTTCAATTATGGGTAGCAAGAGTATGATAAATATATTGAAGAGCCCTTTGTTAAGCAAATTCGGTGCATTAGATGGTGATGGTAATTTCAGAAGAATAAGTTTGAATGATATTAAAGGGCCAATAAGTTATGATTTTGTCAGCTCTCCTGGTGGCTTTAGTAATTATTCATCACCGAAGCTAGAGAAGGAAACACATATTCTGGGAAACCATAAGAATGGATCTGAGACTGTGCATAAGAGGCTTGTGTCTGTCTCAAGCACAAACTCCTCATGTTCTGATCAATCTTCTTCTTCTGCTGCTTCTACCTCAGTTTCTCTAGGAATGCTCCAATGCATGTGGAAGGGTGGGAAACCACATTTTGTGTTTTCTGTAGATGAGCGAAAGGAGGTCTATGTTGCCAACTTGTCCAAGACTGAATCAGCTGGCAGTAAGTCTCAGGACTATATGTACACATTCCATTTGAGAAAGGGTAGCCAAAAGGAACATGAGATTCATGATAACGAGTCACTCCTTGTTGGTAAGATGAAAGTTTCAACTTCCTTCACCATCTGCCAGAATGATTCTAAAATTATGGAGACTCAATTCACTTTGTTTTCTAGTACTGAAAATTCTGCTGGGGAGATGGAAATGTCATGTCGTGGCATAAGGAAGAATAAGAGCTTATCTAAGAAGGTGGTGGAAGCGTTCAGAAATAACCACTCATCCAAGCAGATTACACTCTCTAAATTTGGTGGGTCAAGTGCCATACTGGAAAATTCTTCTTGGGAGCCGTTGCAAAATCTGAGCAATAATTTGGATGCACTTGGTGGGACTAGTCTCATTGAAAATGATCTTCCACCAAATCTTCAATTGGCTGCCATTGTTGTGAAAGAAGGTCTCCCTGCTAGTCGTCAGAAGGAAGGTGGAGGTTGGGGCTTGAATTTTCTGAAGAAAGTAGGGGTCAATCAAAGTGCTGAGACTCTAAAAACCTCTGCACCTTCTGTTTCTTGTGCTCGAGATAGTGATGATTGCTCGACAAGTATGGATATTCTAATTCCAGCAGGTTTTCATGGTGGCCCAAGAACAAAAAATGGGGGCCCTTCTGGTCTTATTGAGAGATGGAGATCTGGTGGATGCTGTGACTGTGGTGGCTGGGACCTAGGCTGCCCACTCACTGTACTTAATACCAGATTAAGCAGAAAAGATGTTTCACCCCAAGTGGATATGAATGATGAGTTTAAATCATTTGATTTGTTCATACAGGTAAGTCTATCTCCTATATTTTTCCCTTTATTACATTTTTAAATTGCTATTGCTAGTCCAGTTACAATATGCTTAACCAGTTTTCCTCAATATGTTTCTACCTATTGTGTTCTCCTAATTTCTAATTATTTGATTAATATGCTTAACCAGTTTTCCTCAATATGTTTCTACCTATTGTGTTCTCCTAATTTCTAATTATTTGATTCTCATAAGGTTTCACTGAATAGTATTTAAGGTTAAACATCATAGTTGTATGCAAATCATTAAGTAGTTGTTATGTCATATATTAGCTGTAATGTAACTGGAAAAGATATTTAACTTGCCTCTATAACTAGCTCTGCTAGTTACTGAAATTGTTTCACCAAAAATTGCAGTTAATTAAATTGTCCATAGTCTTTTTGAAAATTCCTTTGTTGTATGGAAAATTACAGAAGTATTGTGGCACAGTACTTAAATGAGCACTGAGATGACCATTGTTCAAATTCAATGTTTCAGGGCTCAGAACAAGGTGCTCCCACCTTGAGGATGGTGAATATCCGTGATGGTTTGTATTTTATTCATTTTCAATCGAATCTGTCAGCTTTGCAGTCTTTATCAATTGCAGTGGCATCAATTCATTCGCAGAGTCCCAGTCTCCGACCTAAAAATGTACAGAAGTGAACTAGCTGTATCAAGAATTGAGGTTTATGTTGTAGTGTAACTTTTACTGTATTACAGCCTTGCGTAAGTCTAAATCTAAATTTTTATACACGAATATAGGTGCTTATAGTTTTGTCTTATAGTTGCAGCTTGCCCAGTGTCAGATTGTTTTTAGGTTAGTTTCACTGATTGGAATTTTTACACTTCAATTGCCAGAGCAAAAGAACTTGTAATGTGTTCCTTTTTTGATTGAATGAAAGCTGAATTTGATACCTAATTATCTTAATGTGTTGTATCTATGAGAGCTTGGAGTAAGGCATAAGAATAATTGTATCTGTAGATATCAATTTGCATAGCTAATGAAATTAACTAAGAAGCACACAAATCTACTTTTTTATTTTAAGAATAATTTTTTTTTTCCTATCTAGTTTTTGGCTGCCTAGGTGTGCTTTTGCTAATAAAACTTATTGCAATTCTTATTATTTGATATTTTTTAGCAAAGCCGGAATCCATAATTACTGATGAAGTGAGAAATAACAATGAGAATGCAGGTTTTGGTTGTGTTCAATAGTTGAATAAAGGGTCTAAAATACATTTCAAGGGCACTTTTTGGTCGCCATATCCATATCTCCCTATTAGTTAATCTTGCAGGGACTTGCTTTGTAGAGTATTGATGATGGTGCTACATAGTAAGTACACGCTTTGCAAAGTTGTAGTTGAAACCACAGACTCCGTCTACAAGCCCACCTTCTGGATTATTCTTGCGACTGTCTTCCTGTGTCAAAAACATAATTGGATCTTCTCACAGGTATGTTTTCTTTAAGCTTATTCCTCGCTTTCTCATTGCTTCCTTTTGTTGAGAGGGATATGTTGAAAATTTGTCTTAGTTTTAATCATCACAAGTTGTTTTCAACTTCAGAGGTTTGGCTCCTAGTCATAATTGTTGCCATAAGAATTGTTTGCTTCTTCTGATATAAGAAAATATTTCTTTTTTCTGCTGTACAATCAGAAATGTGGATTTTATAGATCTATACTAAAAATTCCTTCACGATTGAGCAATAACTCTTAAGAAAATAGTTAGGTGCTGGTTGTCAAGTTACAAGAGCGAACCAATAGGCCTTCGCTTTTGCTTCCTCTAAAATTGCAGTCATGGTAAAATCTTGGTTCATTCAATAACCAGAAGTTCTCCAGCATACAAATTTTCTGGAAAGTCCTACCTACATGTTTAAGGTTTAGGATGATATTTGTGGTTCTGAACATCAGGACAGGATAATGAACAAGGCGTGTGTAGCTATTGGTGTTTTATGTATTGTGTCGATGCGTTGAATCTAATTATTCAACAACAAATTGTCATCATAAAATCAACAGATTGTTAATAATGCTACTTTTGGCATCATACAAATCTACAAAACTCTGAGGTAATCTATACAATGAATTTTGCACATTCAAATATGTATATATTCAACGGAACAAGACGTGTGTTGTGTTCAATGTCATAACTCATAATGATGTATGACAGATTTTCCTAAATTAAGATTTTAGAATATCTCAAACGTGTTTGTGGATTCGAGTCACTATGTTAAAGCTATCTAGTGCCTAACAATTATATGATTTTAGATTATTTCAAATGTGTTTGTGGATTTGAGCCACTACATTAGAGTGTATCTAGTAACTATCCCTATTTCACTGTGTCACATAAGAATAAAGCTTGAATGCTGTCTACCATGTGGTTTTTGGAAAGCGATAATGATGCAAGAATTTACAAACTCATAGATGTTCATGCTTGATAAGTTACTCCCACCAAAATGACAGAAATGTATACCTAAATGAAGTCATTCTGCCCAAAACTTTGATTACTAATGTTACTGGATTATGCTTCAATGCGTTCAATTGATGTTATATATGATTATCTTTTGCAGGTAATTTTCTCTTGTATTTTCTGGTTTCAACTAATCACCCCTCACCTCTTAATCTTTCAGGCCCTTTTGCTTGTATGCACAAACCATATTGCAGATGGTTAGACAAGACTTGAGTGTTCTGTCCAATGTAGCTTTGAAGGAGCAACACAGAAATTGGGAAGCCTGCAGATTTGATTTTGGTTTTTTTTTTTTTCACTATTCCCCTTCAGGTTGTGTCTCCATCCTTAGATTCATCATAATCTAGTGTGCTAATGGCCATGTTTTTTAACCCCATTATCCTTAAATTAATTTATTTTCTCTTTTTACTTCAAATTAGTGGAAAACTGCTATTGAGAAGCAGGCATTACTGAAAAAGAGAAAAGCATGTAGTAAGAAGTTGATTTTAGGATGTCTGTAACCATCAAGTACTTTGAATTATTGAAGTGGTGGATGATCAGAGAACATTGTGTTGTGAGGATGAGTTATTTGAGGTGAGTTGAAAGCTGTTTTTGACTCTGTCAAAAGTGCTTTTACATACAGGCAAAAACAGATTTTTAAGTTGGAGACAAACATTTAGGATGCTTTTTGGCGCTTCTTTGAAAAGCGTTTTTGGGTTTAAAAACACATTTGAAGAATTTTCCGGGAAGATAACGGCTGCCAATGCTTTCTCTCTGGTAGAAAGCATTACTGTAACATTAAATTAAAGCAAGAATGAGCTCTTATGTAAATATTAATATAAACTCTATTTGAAGAAGCTGCACTAAATAGACCCTCCTAATAAATGTTTTTATTTTTAACTTGAAGCTTACAAAATATAAGGTAAACACTAAACATGAGCCTCAAGAACATAAAATAAAAACATGAAGTTCTAATTCAAAAGGTAAACTTGAAGATATGATAATAAAAAATCAAGTAAACGATTTTTTCTAATATTTTAATAACCAACCCGTAGTGAAACCCAGCAAAGTTGCCGGGTCTTGGGTTGATCAGCCGGTCAAATCAGGTATCAAAAGGTTTAAAATTTAGTAAATACACCCTTAAAAATTACAATTAAGTCTCAATAGGTTTGAAATTTAGCAAACACATCCTAAATACAAATCGATGGTTGACTAGTTGGTGGTGGTGACACACCAAATGCAATCCCAATCATTCATTGAGCATTGTTTTAAAAATCGGACTGAAGGGTAACCTGGTCTGATGGCCGAGTCACGGTTCAACCGGTCCAACCGTCGGTTGGACTGATGATGTCATCACACATCATGATGATGTCAGCACATTTTTAAAAATACTTTCTTTTTTTTAGATTTCTATTTTTTAATAAGACTATCCAACATGATTCAAAGTTCAAATTCAACAACAATCCTAATATAATGTAAGCATTTAACAACAATTTAAATATCAAAAGAAGATTAACAGCCATTGCAAGAGCAAAATCAAGTTAAATTTGGTTCCCTAGTACAGTTACTGGACCACTTAAATGAAAAATTAAGGAAGTAAAGGCAAAATGGGTTACGCAATACTACCAGGTAGAAAGATTTAATGCTATTATAAATATAATTTTCAACTCTAAACAATGAGAAAAACGTGATAAAAGGCATCAGATCTAGATCACTTTAAATTATTCCTATACATTTTAAGGTTAGTGTCTGAATCTTGATCAACAAAATGACTCAACAAGTCATAAAAGCATGGCGTGGAAATTTCAACATTATTGATAATTGCAAAGATTTTAAAGAGATTAGAAAAAATCTTTGGTATTTGAACACGTGGCAATCCAATAGCTCTTTCGGATAATGCACATTACCATCCAAGTACTATAAATTGTAGAGTAACCCTAAAGTGAATTTTGACTTTTCAACAAGGAGATGAGAACAAATTCAAGTGACAAAGTGATACTAAAACATCCACCTCTACAGGACCAAAAATCTACCACCCAAGGTAAGGCGAAGATAATTTTTCTGCCCGAAATGTTTCAGAAAAACAATTTCCTAAAACATATATATAGGAATATAAATTATTAGTTTGTCCCCTCTCTTCCACTGTCGGCTCCACCTCCAACCTCACTTCCTCTCCCCAATTCCCATACCTACCCACTTTCTCCGTTTCCTTGCTCCCATCCCCACACCCACTTCCTCCACTTTTGCTCTCCCAAAGTCGTCAACGGCCTTGCAAGGTTGGATTGTGACCTTGCAAGGCCACTATTGTGGCCATGATGCTGGCCTTACGAGGCCACTATTGCGACCACAATGGTTGCTAAGCAAGGCCACCATTACCAATCCCGAGAGCCTGTCCACACAAGCCAAACTTCATTTTTTCTCAACCTAATCTATCAGAAACAATCATCAAACAGTCCAAAATCAAAATTAAAAAAAAGCTTTGTTGATTGTTCTTCTCGGTCAAATGGGTTTGACTTGGTTTGGCCGAGTTTGACCACCATGGACTCCAACCCTACCAATCGTTGTGTTCTTCACAAGTCCTTAAATCCCCTCCTCCAATCCTCTACCACCACCAAAGCCTTAACCTCCACCGATTTCAGAGAGTTCAGTTGCGATTTAGGTGGGATTTCAGAGAGAAACTTTCGTAGAGAACAGAGAAGAAGGTGAGAAATTTTCGCAGAGAACAGAGACGAAGCTGAGAAATTTTCGTAAGAAAAAGAGAAAGAGAAGAAGATGAGAACAGAGAAGAAGAAGCTACAATGTGTATTAGGGATTTAGGGGTTTTTAAAATTCGACCGGTTTATCCGGTTGGACCGGCGGTTCACTGAATTTATCCGGTTTTGAAACGGTTTAAAGCGGCTCATTACATTATAGCGGTTTTGGTGTTGACGCAAGCCGGACATGTGACCGGTTCCCGGTCCAACAGGTTGGACCGGCTGGTCCGGTCCTTAAAACAGTGTCCTTGAGCCAATTTCCCAGAAAATCTATCCAAGATTTGATCAAAATCGGTTTGATTTTGGCTAAATCTCACCACCGCTGGCATCGACAACCGAGGCCAGATCTCACCACCATTGGTGTCAACAACCCTCCCCATCACCACGAAAATACTCCTCTTAGTCTCCTGACCAAAACCCATCTCACCCCACCCTCGTTCACCTTGCCAATTGCCGACAAAAGCCGACTGTTGCTGTCGCCAGTTTTTTTTTTTATTTTCGATCAATTTACTCATCGAAAATCACCTTCGTCGCCACCATTACACTGACTGACCCTTCCTCTTCAAAAGCCCTATATCCCAGACTTCAATTGTTCATCGTTCATCATCCTAGTATCTAAGGTTTTTGATGAATAGGAAAATTAGTAACCCGACTCGGTGAATGGCCCGGTGCCAATTGAACTGGTTGAACCAGCTAGTCTGGGTTTTAAAACACTGTTTTTTCCCACCCAAATAATGG